AAGCTGATGAAAAATGGCAACATTGTTGCAACTGCCCAACTGATAATACATTGCTAGAAATTCACACAGAATGTGATACTTTAATAATTCGCGCATAATAATAATTGTGATTGCAACTCGAACAAGTCCAATTAGGCAATCATGCTCTTTATGCTATCTATGCACCATGCTAGACAGTATGCACCGGATCGTGAATACCCCTATTGTGGCAATTAACTAAATAAAGTTTTTAAGTCGTAAACACCGAACATGAGCGACGACAGTAATATTTCATGTTCAGAGAAGTTAGTTTTTTTTTTGCGGTTTCTTTGTGCGTTTCATGGAATTAATTACATACTGATATACTCAGTAATTTAATCTAGAGATGACACACATACATGTGTATATATTTTAAACTTTACAATTTGCACGCAAATGCAAGTGCAACGAATTGAAGGCTGTAAATGTAAGCAAATAAAATCTATTTCACATACAAATACACATGAAATTGTTTATTATATGTACATACATACATGTGTATATGTATCTCTGTTATTGCCAACCATGTTTATAAAAACTTTTGTTTTCTTTTTTCTGAGAAATTACAATGTATGTACATAGGTACACGCTTTTCCTGATTTGGTTATCTGGTTAAATGTTTCAAAATATTAAATACTTCAGTTAAATTTTATGACTACCATGTCTACCACCAAACCATCTACCATGTCAAACTATCGAATTTGATAATCGGTATTTTTCAAGAGAGCAAAAAAACTGTTGTAAAAAATGTTGTTGTCATTAGTAAAAAGTGTTGGATTCGACATTCGGATTTGTTAAAGCCAGAATTTTTTGCTCTCTGAAGACTAGAAATTTGACGATTTGCCAACTTGCGCATCATTCTAAACGCATGCGTAAGGTTTGGTAATTTTGCACATTTGATAGTTTGACATGGCAGCGACTATATGTTATATATTATGCAGTTACAGAAAAAGATTTTTTAAATTGTACCTAAACCACTAAGTTATGATTTAGATGTATCCCTATGTTCGGCACCGTCCGAACTAAGACTTTTTTACTTGTTATCTTTTTGATTAATGCATTTGATTTGATGCAGTCAGAGTTCTAGGCGTTGAGTTGGACAAATTTTGTTAGTATTTCATTCATTTTACAATTCGAAAAAATATATATCCCATTGTTATCACATTATCAGACTAGTCTCGAAAATTGCGGAATGAGTGACAGTTTTTTAGAAAACCCTTTTAAGAAAATCGATAAGTACGTCTTTTTTGGAAATCAACATGTTCTGCTGAAAATTTTAAAATTTTCTGGGATTCTTATATTTTTTTATTTAAACTTTTTTCTATTTTATATTCCCAAGGTGTTTTGAAAATAAAAATTTTTAAAAACAAAAGAATTGTCGCAATCGGCCTATTTTTCGCAAAGTTATCTCGAAAAGGCCGAAAAACCCATTTAAATATGGGAGGCCTCTTAAATGGTACTATAACACAAAAAAATATTGGAGATTAAAAATCCAAATGGTGTCCAAATTGGGCTGGAGTGCTCCATATACACTATGGCAAACTCTAACTTTTAAATTAATTTCTTTAAGGCTATGGGATGAAATGCATTTTTTTTCGATTTTCGAGGGATTTGGAAGAAGTAAGGTCCTCGATCCCGCTAGAACCATAGTTTTTGAGGAGAGGTTTCAAATAGAGTTATACTGTAAAGCAACCTGGTTCAGTTCTGCCTTCGAGAGACTCCTTCAAGATAGCACTGGTGCGCAGACGGCTCGAAGACCCCATAGGAAATAGGGGCTGGAATCTTCAAATCCAGGACTAAGATCTTTGGTCTTATTTGCAAATATCCGAGTATATTTCAAACGGAAGTTTACACCATTTATTTTTGTGCAGAGTCTATCATAAATGGTGGATATCGTAATGAGGGAACTATGATTCTAAGTGACCTCCTTTGACAGGCACAATAATATCCGGTTAGCGTGGGTACTTAGTCACAGAAGAATAGAGGGTAACGGAACGGCGGACTATCTCGCAAGAGAGGCGACAGCCAACACTCCAGTTTGTCCCTGAGCCCTTCCTAGGAGTAGGTCACAATAGGTACTATAAAGGAGGGACAGCAGAAGGGACCCTGCGTTCGCTACCCAAGGAAGAGGTTTTGTAGGACGTATCTTTAAAAGGCTTTTCCTAAAGCGCTCCTATACAACTTAAAATGCATATTTAAATTCATTTGTAATGCTGAATAATATAAACTTAAATATAAAGCAGCTAATTCATGTTCGAGATATTATACCATATAATAAAGCAACTAAAATTGGTTACATGTTGACTGTTATATACTCACACATTCCATCATATCGGCCCGCTCTTATTTATTTCCGTACATATACTTAAATTAATAAAATACATACATACATATGTATGTACATACATATATACTTTTATTTGCCATTTTTATTCTAAACCGGCTCAGCGGAATGCTTAGTGTGTAACGATCGCTTATAACATTATGAACTGCGATAACACTGGTTTACAAAAAAAATTTTCTATAGATGGCACTATCCAATTCCTATGTAGAATTGTTCGGTGATTCCGAAAATCGAGTTAATTTTTTTCTATGTATACGTTTTCGAGATATATGCAATTTACCGTCATTCAGCTTAAAAAAAGAGTAGTTCCACTTAATCACGTACCATATCGTACGAACCAATTCGTATCAATACCGCAAATGAAAGCCAATGACATTCTCCATAAACCGGATATACATCACATTTTGATAGGCCTGACTGTTTCTAAGAAATAAATTAACAAAAAAAAAAACAGTCATTACTTTTTTATTTTTCCCCTGTTAAGTTTGATTTTTTTAAATCTTTCATAAAAAAATAAATCTTATTTAATTTCTCAAAAACTATTAGAACCTTGATAAAAATATTACAAGGTAAATTCATTCTCTCAATTCGTCGGCCATGACTTTTATATATATGATTTTAAAATGTTGGCAAACCTCATGGTACAATAATTACAGGTAATGTGTTCCCAGAGAGTTTTGCTTCACATCGAAATTCGTGCTCCCTTATTTTCTTTTTGACGCAGTTCAGTGTTGGTTCTTTTACTTTTATTTGGCTTTGCTTTTTGTTTCCGCTCAATTTAATTTTTATAATTTTTCAAAATAAAAGAAAAAACGCTTGAAATGATGTGAGTCATACCAATTTTGAACTTATTTACTAAGCAAATATTTTTGTCGGCTTTTGCAAATTAAATAACCCCTCTGCAAGAAGGTTTGTTTAAAAAAATACGTGTACATATATGGTATATGGGGTATGGAAATATCCCTTTTCCCTAGCAGTAAACGTTTTAGTGTGGGCAACAATGATGTTTTTCAAATAAGGCAGATCGGAATATGCGCTCTCTGGGAAGACAATATCTGTAATTATTGTATCATGGGCAAACCTCAAAAAAAAATCATGGCCGACGAATTGAGAAAACGGTTTTACCTTATTAAGTTTTTATATCAAGTGAGAATTTCATCGGCTTTCATTTGCCGTGTTTCGTACTACGATTGTTCCATTGGTTCGTATGATATATATGATTAAGTAAAACCACTCTTTTCCTAAGCTGAATAACGATAAATTTCAAATATCTCGAAAACAAATCCATAGAAACAAGAATTAACTCGATTTTCGGAATCACCGAGCAATTCTACATAGCGATTGGATAGTGGCATCTTAAAAACAAAAACAAAACTAAAATTTGTGATCCAGTGTAATCGTACGAGCATTTATCAGCTGCTTTGAGACAACAACGTGACAATGCCGATTTTAATCTCGTGTGCTAAATCATATCGAAACAATTTTTTAGTTAAGAAATGTTTTTTTCAGCACCACCCAAAACCCATAAAGACAATTTGACTATCTTACATATACATCTGTATATATACATACATATGTAATTCATATATACATGCATACATATTTATCCACGTAATATGTACATTAGACTGCATCACAAAAAAAAGTTACGGTTTTTCCGACGAGACTACAAAATTTATTATATTTGAAGACGTCCACCAAAATATTTCGGAAAAATATTAAGATTAATGTGAGCTGGACCGATTTGAAAATACCTCGAAATATGGAGTTTTTATGAATAAAAATAGTTTATTCAAAAACTTTTTGATAAAAGCCCCGCACATGACAGAACAAATGAAGCTTAAAAAATCTGCATAAAAATATTCAAAAATCATTTCAACGTAATCGTAATAATGAGATTTTTGATTTTTCGCGCTGTGTTTTTTTTTCAAAGATTGATTTACGAAGATCTTTAATAACTGAGCTAAAACTACTCTGATTTAGACTTATGTGGTCTCAGTAGAAAGGTATTTTCCCACTCTTTATTTCTGTTCATGTCTCAATTTTTTTTTTTTTCAAATACCAACACATCTTAGTTCAACTCGGAATGACGCTCGTTCATCCTACCTTTCTCTTTCAAGACTTAAATGAGTTAGCAAAGAAATAAAAAAGGGTGAGAAAATACCCTTCCAATGATACCTAACAAATCTTAATATTTTTCCGAAATATTTTGGTGGGCGTCTTAAAATATAATAGATTTTATAATTCCAATGGAAACACAGTACCGATTTTTCCTTGTATGGGGAGTGATGCAGTCTAATGTACATATATACATATATATGTATGTAGGTACATATGTATTCATATTAGGGTTATCACTTTTAGCCTTTTTTTTGCAAAAACTAGTGGTGCCAAACAATGCTGTTTGAGAGCGCCTAACGATACTTGGCACGAGAAGCAACAATATTCTTTTTTCAAAAAACAAAATTATAATTGAGATCGTCTTGACTAGCCAGTAGAGACACGCGGTAATGCCTTGCTCTTCTCTTCACATTTCTTGTATGTATGTATGAATGTGTGTGCAAGTGGCTGTGCGCCTGAGCGAGTTTTGACTCCGAGTGGCGCAAAAGACAAAATTTGCAAAATTTGTATCAAAACGTCTAGTGGAGTCATTGGCACTGGTTTGTCTGGTTGCGGTGCTCGTGTACATGTAGTGACCAGTTGCCGGGTTGTTTTGATCGTGTGGCATTGTTTGAAGTGCTACAAAAAAGTATCATTAGTGGTCAAAATTGACTGAGAGTGCAAACATTTCATTTTTCAAACAGTTTTAGAATATCGATAAATTTTTTTATTCTTGTGTACACATGTAACTATAAGTGAGTGATAACACAAACACCATTTACATTTTCGTATTTACACAGATGTTTTTTTACCTCGTAAATGACAAATGTATGTAATTGTGCATCTGTAGGTAAGTCAGCATTGCAATGTTATCCACCTATCGAAATTCGCCGTGTCTGCATCGGCAATATCTAGTTCAGTGATTCCCAAAGTGGTCCAGGTGGACCCCCGGGGTCTCGACGGGGATCTACATTGGCGTGAAAAAAATATGGGCGTTCACGAGTTGAAAGTGTGGGTCCACGAAAATTTATCTTGCTTTGATAGTAAAGAACAAAAATGGTTGCTTGTCTTTATCTTTCAATGTAGGCAGATAATACACTCCAAAAAAATAAGGGAGAAAAAAAATACCAAATTTTTCGGTGGTTTTTGACAAGCCGTATTTCGTTAACACTGAGTGGGGCGAGGCGGAAATTGCTGGCGGCAGAGATTTGACCATCTTGCTTTGCTCTGAATGTGATCCTGTCCCGCTTTTGCAAGAATTGTGTATAGACATTTGGTCGCGATGTGTTGAGAGACGAACATCTGAGCTCTTTGACACCCAATAATCTGCTTAGGTGTATTCGTAAATCGTGCAGATTTAACAATGATTACAAGGGACATGAAAACAGTACTATGGACGGCATGTAGTCTGAGTGCTATTTTCTGCACGGTTCCGACAAAAAAAGTGTTTTTTAAGACGGAGTTCGCCAAAATTCTATGCCACTAAAAAAAATTACTTCTCATAAAGAGCGTTCTGTTTCTTTTGCTTATCTTGCTTTCATAACACAGTAATTTGCATCGTTGATAAACTCATTAAAGCAACTGTGAGTGATAAATATTTTTCGCAACACTTTAAAACTCGGAGCGATAAAAATAAAAGCAATGCCATACAAAAACACAAATAAACTATTTTACAAATACGCCACATGCAAATTCATGAATGACTCGAACATGTGAGGAGTTTATGATGAAGAGAATATGAATAACGCTAGTATCAAAGTGTTCTTAAAACATGTGACTCCTCAGAGCAAGACCTCTGTTTCTTAAAAACTTGCAAGTGTGTTATCACAATATTTTAATAAATAGAACACAAGAAAATATACCATTTTTATTTTTTCAATTGCAAATTAAGGTTTGGAGCTCAGCCGCGATGCAAATTTCCATCGCTAGATTTAATCTTCGCAGTTTTTGACGAGCTTTGGGAAAATGTTTGAAATATAGCACCAGGTGTCCACCAAAACCTGAAAATTTTTGGAAGGGGTCTGCGAGAAGAAAATGTTTGGGAACCTTTGATCTATTGTGACAAATATAGAAATTTATCTGTGCATTTGTTCAACTTTTTATTTTTATTTCTCCACATTTTCGGATTTAGCCGCTGGCAGATATTTTTGTTTGTTTAGTTTGTTTCCTTGACTTTGTGGCGCACAGTATGGCAAATGATCGCCATGGCATACAAACATCGAAATACGTACATATGTATGTATGTACTTTCAAACTTATGAAAATTTAACCAACTTTTTTATTCAATTTTGGTAAGTTTCAAATAGCTAAGGAGTCGCGTTGATTTTTAATATTTTTTATTTTGCTGATGGTGCCTGGAATTTTCTTCCGTATAAAATTATTTGAGCATGCTTTATATGGAAGAAAAATTTAAACACCTTCAGCGAAAAAAAAAATTAATTAACGCAAATTTTGAGCCATTTTAAACTTGCACTGTATTAAAATTGAATTAGCCTTTTTACTTCGACAATTCTTTTTCTATCAGAAAGGTAGTGTCTCACAGGTGACCCCATACTAATTTGGTTTAGATTCGAACATTGGATCATGTGAAAATATAACGGTACTCCTAAATTTTTATATGGGAATTGAAGTCGGTTGTGTTTTTTGCTGAATACCCAGGGCATCAAAATTTCAAACGTTTTAACTGGAATTTCTAGAAATTGTATTGCAGTTTTATAGCCCATTCAATTTTAGTACAATATTGTGCAAGTTTGAATTAGCTCAAAAACCTCCTTGATTTTTGAGAATTTATATTTGTTAGCGGTGTTGCTCATTTTCTCCCATACAAAAAAAAAAACTTTTGAACATACTTTGTAAGCGAAAAAAATTCTCAATAATCAACGTTATTTTTGAGTTAATTCAAACTTGCTTAATATTATACTAAAATTGTATGGGCTACAAAACTGCATACCCAAATCATTTCTAGAAGATCAAAAAGAAAAAAAAAAACTCGAAATTCTGATGTCCATTTTTCAAACTTCGTCAAATTACTATAAACCTTATACAAAGTTGAAAGCTTTGAGTTACATGAGTTTTGTTGTAGCATGCACTATATTTTCCTAACAAAATAGATTAAAAATAATAAATAAAAATAGATGCGCAAAACTTGAAAAAAAAAAAATCGTTTCTAATTAACGGGCCACCAGTGTATACATACTGTACTTATAGCATGACTGATACCAATTTTTGAAACCGGTTCACAATGTCTTGTTCTCCAAATTTTAACGTATACATACGATGACCATAAATATATTTTGAAAATGCAGGACAATTTTTCAAAAAATTTACCTACATATAATTGCGTTGTATAAAAATAACAAAAATATACTACATATATACATTCCTCGTCATTTGAATAGCGTAGCCTTTTTTTGATTTTTTACCATACAAAGTATGCTTGACAAAATTTTTATATGGAAGAAAATACGCAGCACCGTCAACAAAAAAAAATTGTCGCCCCTATGTATATATTCTTTTTTAATTTCAAAAATTTATGAAATGGGATGTAGATGTATATTTTTATAAAAAGTTAATGAATATTAAACAAACAAAAGGAAAACTGTACCTACTAAGTATTAAAAGGATGCGCTATTCAAATAACGAAGATGGTATATTTCTTAATTATTAATCCAATTTTAAACTTTAAACATAAATCACATTTGCTTCATTGGTATTAATCTTTTATAAATGAATATTTACAAAATTATAATAAGGCATATTACATATTACTTACTTACACGAAATATGAACCTCTGTAAAGCAAATTTTTTTAGGCAAATTTTGGGTCGTTGAACACGAAAAAATACCCATGGTTTCAAAGAAGTGTTTTCGAGATTTGTTCGAAAAACGTATTTTTAGTACTTTTTCAGTTATTCCTCAATATCTCATGAAACGACCAACAGTTCGAAAGGTATTGATGGGCTCTTTGCAAAAATATATATTTTTTGTGCAGATTGTGTTCCGTAACATCTACATTTCTCATCAGATTTTCATTTACCGTAAAGAGAAAATGATTGAAATTTCAATTTTTCGATTTTGGTCGCTTGTGACACTAATAATTTTCATTGAAATCGGCAAAGTAATATATTTTTGTAGGTCGCTTATGTTGATTCGATAATTTTTTCATGAGACATTGACGAATAGGTCCGAAATGTACCAAAAACACTTTTTTCGAAAAAATTACGAAAACGCTTGTTTGAAAAGAAAATCGGCTTGGAAAATATTTTTTTTTTCTTAAGCGATTACCACCAAATTTGTAGAACAGTGTTATCGATATATTTGATGCTGGTCTTCAATTTCACGTCACCCATTGTCCATAACCGTACAATATTTAGAACGCATTGACTAGTTGAACCTTCAAAACCCACTTACACTGCTTTTATTTCGATTAGGAAAAGTTAATTTTAAAATATCGAAGAAAATGCGGGACAAAGGCAGGACACTTGGAAAAAATCAGAACATTTTGGGGGTTTTCTGTTTTGAAAAACTACGCAGGACAGACCTTTAAATAACAGTACGGTCCTGTAAAAAACAGAACGTATGGTCACCGTACGTATACAAGAAATGAATTTAGTGTACATTCATATATATACATATGTGCATACATACATACATATGTATGTCTGCAGCCTCTAAAATTTAAATTTGTTCTTGAAACCTTCTTAACTCTAGTTGAGATGAATCTGATGGCGATAGATGTATGTACATACATATGTACATATTTACCTATATGTATGTATGTAGCGGCAGAAACAAAACAGACTTGTTTTGGCTATACTCTTTTGTTTATTTAATTTTAAATATATTTGTAAAAGTATAACTCATTATGTAATAAACTGCAAACTCTGTACAAAAATTATAAAAATTCAACAAATTTTCACTAGAATTTCAAACTTGTTATTAAAAATTTTTAGAAAAGTTTTGGGTATGCAGTTCTATAGCCCATTAAATTTTGGTAGGTTAAAGTGCAACTAATTTTCTTTTAAAATTCACTTCTGCACCAAAGTCGGTAGATTACTCACTTAATCGAATTTAAAATCAACTACTAAAAGCCATTGTAATGAAGAAACTCGCAACTGAAGAACTTTAGTTTGTATAAAGTTTTATTAAAAATGTTAGATAGGGTGTTTCTATGTCAAGGTAACGATATGCACATACGTATTTAATTATTTTCAAGCAACAAATACGAAAAGTATCTTTCCAATTTTAAAGATACATATTTGAAAGTGCCCATTATGATCTAATTAGCGTGTAATTAATAATTTTCGCAAGTTGGCTTTATGTACACATGTGTATTAGACTGATTCAAAAAAATCGACAATTTTATTTTTTACCCCCCATCCTGGGGGAAGTCAAAAGATGGCCTGGTAAAGGCGCCACTCTTAATATTAAGCTTAAAAGGACGTGCATCGCACATTTCTATATTCCATATAAATTACTTTAAAAAAATTGTTTTCAACTATTTTAACTAAAAACTAAAAAAAGATGTTCAAAGATCATAGCAATGTTTTATTGTAATTCCTTGCAAAAAACCACAACAATGCCCCCTCTCTTATGCTGGATTTCCACTACGCATTAAATGGCAAAAATGGCAAATGACAAAGTTGGACGTTAAAAAATAATCGTGTCATTACGTTAAAAAAAAATCGTTCATTTCCACCTGGCATTTTTTAAATTGCATACATTTTTTGTTATTTCAATGCCTACTGGAAATGCGACATTAGTTACTACAATTTTAGAGTTATTGAAATAATTACATACATATGTACATATGTACATAGCGCTTATTTCCTAAAAGGTACTTTAAGTTGT